GGGCCTGGCCTTCTCCCCGCAAGCCGAGAGGCGCCCCCGCGGGCTGTGCGTGGGGCAGCTCGCTCACACGGCCCGGCGGCAGGCTTGCGCTGGAGGAAGGACAGCGTGGGTGCAGCAGAGAATGGCGTGGAAGGGGCGGAAACTGGGGACTGAGAAGCCGACGCGGGCAGCGACCCAGACGAGGGGTGACGACAGCTGGATGCAGGACCTCGGCGGCGGGGGTGGAGCACACGGGGCACGAGAGAGACAGCCGCTTACGCAGTGTCAGAGGACGTGTGAGCTAACCACATGTGGAGGCTGAGGGAGAGGACAGGGTCAAAAATACACCTGTCTTTTCTAGTTTGCACAAGGGGGTGGCCAGGGCTTCCGCTCACTGACCTAGAGGACAGAGGAGAGAAGCTGGGGACACACTGAGGTTGATGTTCCAGTAGGACATCCAGGTGGCCGTTCAGAAGACAGCTGGACGTGCAGTCAGCAACTAAAACGTGATGCCCGGGCCGGAGGCGTGGATGGTAACTGAGCCCCGGGTGGGGCGGAGGGCGCTTGGGGTGAGGGAGGAGCGCTCAGGACCAGCCCGAGGGACACGAGCCCTCCGGGTGGAGGCGAGCCCGACCCAGAGTCAGGAGCCAGGAAGCGGAGGTCACAGAGGGAAGACAGAGGCCAGAAGACAGCAGAGCCACAAAGGTCAAGGGAAGAGAGTGTGCCGAGAAGAAAAGGAGGGTCCAAGTGCCAAGGGCTGCCAAGACGGCGTCCTAGAGCACGGAACGGAGCGCTGAGGTAGCGCTGGCTCGGGGAGGACAGTGTCGGGGAAAAGCTGGGGAGGCAGGCACAGTGTGTGTGTGGAAGCAAAACAGAAAGTTAACAAAGAATTCTGAAAGACAACTGAGTAACTGGTAGCAAACTAAAAAAGGCATGCCTCCGTGTTCACAGACACATCTATTATTACCACACATGTAAGCTTACACGTTTCCCTGTATTTCTGCTCCCTGCTGCCTAAGAAACGCTGGCTACTTAGACTAGGGCAGAACTAGCTCTTTCAAGTAGCTGGACTCAGTTGCCTACTGCACTATAAGCTTGAGAGTGAAGACTCTTACTTTTGAATTTTCCATAGTGTAGGACTGAACCCATGGAAGGTGCTGGATGAATGTAAGCTGCAGGGAGTGAATCCTACTGCAAATAGTATTTATGCAGCAAATGTCATATTTACTGATTCTGTAAAGTCACCCAAACATTGAAAAATTAGTAAAAGATGCTACAGTTGCAGTATCTGAACGGAGAGGAGAAGGGATTAGGGACAATGCTGTTCAGGGATGGAAGGCTGCACTAAGACAGGTGCAGTTGATGGAAAAACGTCAAGATAGAAATATTCTAATAACGAGACAAGAAGAGAGAACAGACGTTACCAAGAACACAATGGTATATATTTAAAGCTCCTCTAAGAAAATGTAAAAGGAGGAAACGAAAATGTCCATGGCCCCTTTCTTAACTGAGCCAGCGTCTGCATCTTAGCAGCAATAATAAAAGGTATTACGGACAGGCTCAACCTAGCATCTTACACCGAATCAGACAGGTTTGTACATCATTTCTGAAAAACTCAACAGGTGTTAAAAAACAGAACCCTCCTCCTGACAAAAAATAGATTCCTAAGCTGTCATGACAAACCAATTTCTTAAACTGCAACTGGATTAGAGTTGTCTGAGCATACTGTTCTAAGAAAAATGTTACCAGGAACACACAAACACATTTAGAGAGTAAAAGACAAAGGCTCTGACACCTGCATTTCCCCCAACGCTACTCTTCCCGACACTGAACCAATTCTGCGACCCCAGCTCCCTTTTCTGCACCCGTGTGCCTGTCTCCGTCCAACAACAAGGGGACATCTGAGGGCTGTTGTACAGCCGCAGGCTAAACCTGGATGCCCAAGGGAGAGCAGGCAGAGCAGCAAAGCCCACGTCACTGCGGATTATAACCCAGACACAAGATAGAAGGCGGGACCGACAGGTCTTTAGATCAGATCCCAGAGAAACTTTAACAACTTTATTCCTTAAAAAAAGATGAATGAGGTCTTATTAGGGAACATCTTCCATGTGATATTCCTTACAGAGTTTTAATTATTTCACATTAGGCAACTCACGTTTAAGAAGAACCGGCATGAACCCCTGCAGGACATTTTATAACTCAAAAACGGACAAACAAAATACCCCAGACAGACTCAGCCTGCACGTCTGAAAGTCTTACTAGCAAACGGGTTTTGACTTTTAGTAAACATCACGATTACTTCACAGTGGCTTGAGAGGTCCCAACAAAAAGCCTCTGATTTCTCACAAACGAATCTAAAACTAGTCCTCTCCATAAATGCAAAAGAGAAAAATTAAAAATACAAGTAACTCCACTCAGAGAAAGCAACAGCCAAGAATGGTGTGGCTGAAATCAAGATTCAAAAAAAACAAACCCCAAAAACCAAAACTGTAAATATTGTACTAAAAGGTTTTCTTCTCTCACCTATCTATAACTCAACAACTTTTCTAAGTTTGCTAATTCGGCCTTTATCATTAAGTATAATCCAGTATACTTATCTAAGTTATTCACACGGACATGATGAAGAAAATGGCTAAGGGAGAAACAAGAGAGGGTCCTACCTCCCACCAGTCTTAAAGATTAGATCTGCATTAGGCGCTCCCTTCGGATGCTGGTAACGCGGCCGCTGCTCCCGATTGGTGTTTGCTGGAGCCGGGCGCTGGGCAAGAGACTGCAGCATTTCTGGAATTAGGAGCCAAACAGAACAGGTGGTTACGCTTGGTAAATGCACTCCTCTCAAGAAGCCAGAGCCCAGGACAGTCTCTCAGGGAGCCGGCTGAGGAACAGCAACCATTGCACAGA